ACGCTTAATCTAGGTCCACAAAGAACATGTACGCCGGATGTGTGAACTCCCATGATTTTTAAAAAATCTGGCGTACAGCCAATATCTGGTGGGATGCGCTTCGGCCGGGCAGGAAGCGACACAACTCTTTTTGTATCTCGGATAAGTTATTCCGCGTCACCTCCTTTCCAGCACCTTTGCGCAGACTTTACCTGGAAAGCTCAATATGGCAATGCCTGATAATTGGAGACTAGATGTGGCGTCCTTTACTGAACAGGGATACTACAACCGCGCCCTCCAATTCGCTGGTGTCTTCCGCGTAGCTGCTGCAGTTTGATCGACACGTGCTAAGCCAGCACATGCCTTGTTCGCCTAACGCTTTGAGCATTTCAGGGCGGATTGCAGCCTTTCCAAATTTCAAGCATATCACAGCACGTGTAACTTCATCTACAGAGATAGTAATATTCGTTCCCTGCTGCTCTCCAGGCGAGTCCTTCTGCAGTTGCATGATAACAGACATGACGTAAACGGTTTACTACCGAGCCCGAAATGAACTGCAATATGCAATTCCTAGATGTGCTTTTGAACAGTACACCACTGCCTGAATCTGGAGTTTCGGTTTAACGAAAATCGACTCAAAGAAACAAATAATTACATCTACGGTCTTGTGCCCAATGTTTGTATTCAAAAACACCGTGAGGAAAATAAATTTACGTGCGTAGGAAGCATGCAACACCACTTCCACCCTTAACGCTGAAACTTAACTTCTTTAATATCTGATCTTGAAAAATGGATATTAAAGGAGAAACTGTACAATGAACTATTGCAGCCGAGTTAAAACTTGATCAAGTGTGTGAGAACAGGCTTGTGATAATTTTACCATACATACCCTCAGGGATATTGCCCAAAACACCGTTTCTGAGGGACATTATTTCAGTCAGACGAATATGTCTGTAATCGAGAAACACCTAGCAAACTTTTGTCTACTGATAAATGAATCCATACACATTTTGGCTATGAACCAACTGCGTAATGAATGCTCCTCCTCTGTGATGATGCGTGAAAGATAGGGAGTAATTACGAAGTTGTTAAGAAAATATGGAACCATGAAACAAGTAGAAGACATTAAACTCTAATGCTGCAAGTTGTGAATGTAATAGAAAAATCCAGTGTAAATCAGCCATTCACATTATATCGAAGAATTCTGTTTGTTTATGTAAGACAGCTAGCAGCCCGATAATCATTTGTACCCCGACGATACAATGGAATATATAGCCAAGCGAGTTGCTAATACAACTGTTTGCAGCCGTGCGGTTTGGTTTCCTCAGCCATGAATCGGTACTGCATCTTTAATATAAAATTTGTCGCTAAACAGGTCGAAGTTGGAACCTATAAAGAAGCAGAATGTTATTACTACAAAACAGGAAATAAAGTCTCTACCATACTAGGCAAATGGAAGGCAAAATAATGGATGTAAAGTAACCAATTGTAGGCAAAAATTCGCTTAGACTGCAAATATTGACATTAGACGAGTGATCCATATGGAACACAAAGTTGCTGTCGTTGTCCTGTCATCGTTATCAAAAGCCAACAGAATTTAAACAGCAGAGTAACCCAGATTTATGATTTCAGACCTTTAGATATGAGATCTCAGACTGATATCTGACAGCGTTCACGCTTCCTGCAACGGTCATTTTCTTCGTCGTCAGCAGGTCTTTTCAATGACGTATTTCCAAGTTTTGTATTTTCCTCCAACCCGTTTGCGACCATTTAGTGGTTCCCACAAGAGAAACATTTTGAATGGAACACTCTGGTTTAGGGCCGTTTCATGGAACTAAGCCATGTTCCTGCTTTTGAGTTCATCGGATAGCTTACTGAAACCGCTTGATGTAAACATACGCTCGTTCATGATCCGGTGGTAAAACTGCACTTTAAGGACCTTCGTAGACAACGTCACCGGGTTTTGTTTAAATCAGCTATATGCCTCTTAAGGACCATAGATGTTTCGAGGTTGTACATGATCACCACGAATATTTCTGCCTTCAGGACGATGATCTTCGAAGGAAGAATCCCAAGTATGAGCTTAATTACGCGAAACATAATATATGTTCATTCGCTATACGTGTACAGAGCGTAGTACGTACATTACTTCATAAAATATTTTAAGTGAATAAATTAATGTTAATAAATCACTGAAA